ATTGATCTTTTGACATTAGCAATCACCTGTCAACGGGATTGATCTGGGGCGCCCAACTCGGCATAGAACCCAGTTAAGCTGCGGCTATAGTTGAAATCACAATGTTATACCTTTTTATTTTCTGCCTACTATAATTTCGCGGCAGGGTACTAAGCGAAATACAATCACAACGTTGCTGAGGACCCGCATGGTGTGGTGGTGAACGCGTTACTCCCCGGAAAGGATAATAGCGCGTTCGTTCCCCACCATAGACACCTGCGGTCCAGAGTTTTGCAAATATCTCAGCAACGTTGTGGTTGTATTTTGCTTAGTAACCTACCATGAAAATTATAGAAGGCAGAAAACAAAAACGTTAAACTTTAAGATGTTTGTTTTTCTACATTTTAGCAGAGCGGATCGGAGGAAATCCCTACTACCCGTCGAATACGCTTGCCTCAAAAAAAATGATGACAACCAAATAACTGGTCTCGTTGGGATGGCAAACACGCTTTCACCTTACAATCTAATCACAATAATAAACAAATCGAAAAAGCTACTGTAGAACAGTGAAAATCTCGTACGATTAGGGAAAATGAATCGAATGCGAAAGTCCTTTTTGAAGAAAGTTTTTGAAAATCAAAACATAATTTCAAAAAAAGTGGCTATTAAACCTTACCTATTCGACTTGACCACAGCTCCTGAATAGCGAAAAGAAGATTACAAGTTGTATAAAAAGTTATAAGAGGTTTAAGAATTGTGAACCCTACCTCGCTTTCATCAATGGATGGATTCGCCCCGGGCAAGAGGCTCATGACGTTGAATACCTGCAAACGGCTACGGCTAAAATGTACACACAACTAATTAACTTATAAATGGTAAAAATCTGTGCTGGCCTTACCATAATTATGGTGATATCTTCAATATTTGTACTATGATACTTCACTGGAAGTCTTCTAACACGATATGGCACCAATCGCTCAAGATTCGCGTGTTATATACCATCATTTCACAAATGTGACTAAAATTTTCAGAAGGACTAAAAACCACACCGGCTCCTCCTCAACAAACTCCATTTACCGCTTTATTGCTGCCTTGGCTTTTCCTTGAAGCCTCTTCTGTCTGATCTGTCGGCACTCGCGCGCTTCAAGCTTACTGAGGTCTGGACAATGCTGAACAAAATGTTGATCAAACATATAAGACAAATATAATACTACAAAGTAATAATGGTTTAAAGATCAAAACACAATGCAGAACTTTACGAAGAGAACTGTTACCATCTCATATTCGTCAACATAGTTCTCCTGTGCAGAAGATATTTTGTACCCTGCCCATTTGACGTGGTACAAAAAGGTGCCGTCTGGTTTTTATCTTAAAAAAGACTCTTAAAAAACACTTATCTTAAAAAACTAATCGAAGGTGGTTCCCAGTAGTTATATTAGAAAAATTTAACCTATAATTATCAACTTGAGTCCGAGAATTAATATGCTGAGCCTCTGAGTGTTGATGTCAACCTATGTGGACCGACTTCTCACCAGGACTCCACTCGCTAGCAAGAATCTCGAGAGTGCATTTGGGCTGTGTTCTATCAAAATCCTCCCCTGATTACATTTTTTGAATTAGGAGATACTATATAACTTTCCTCACTAGCAAATGTACCGCACACAAAAGTTCTTTTGCTAATTATCAATCAAAGGAAATAATTTCCTCAACCGATAGCTGGTACAACATCCATGATGGGATATTGCCGACAGAATAGAATATGTGCAACAAAAAACTCTAAGCTGCAAAACGAAAGGCTGAAAATGAAATGAGCCGATACCGATTCACGTCAGCCTACCTCTCAACACGTATGGGTTGACAATACTTACTTCGACATCCAAGTGCAAAATGTCGTCGAAATGAAAGAAGATATCGACCAGGAGTGCTAACAATGGTGAGTCCAACATCAATTGCTGGTGGAGACTCGTACGCCAGAAATCTATCAAGAGCACTTTTCATCAAAAATGAAACTTAGTCAACACAGTGGATTATAAATGCGTCGTTTTCTTTCTCAGAAATCGCGAAGTTTTTAAGCAGCGTACGTTTACTTTCATACAATAATACACATACAACACAATCGCAGCTGACGTTTCGGCAGAATGGCCTTCTTCATAGCCTGGAAGGGCATCGTGATATGCAGTTTACTAGGTCAAACATTTAAGCAGAACAAACAGAAAGACGAAAATCTGCACGGTAATTACAAGACCTACGGCTTCTCGAAAAAACCCACCCTTTTTTTCACCTGTCTTCCACTGAAGAAGAACATCTGCTCAGCGTCGCATATGGTTGACGACAGCACCACCCCACATCAACGATCAATACGAAAGCATGGGGCGAGATCATGCGTGATCTCGAGTCATTTCTCCCTGCTATTCATTGCAGGATTTTTGGCATTTGTCCAAAAAGCCTCGAGGAGTTTGCGCGTTGGTGTTTTAGGATCCCGTGCGAGGATAGTTGCCCTTATGTCAAAATCCGTCTCCGCTATGCTTTTGTATCCTAGGCGTCCCTAGTGGCGTGCCTCGTCATGCTTTTCGTTTGCCATCTAGGTGTTCTTTTGTGCGGATACATAAAGGTCCGCTCGTTTGCCAATATATTCGTCTCCGCAAGTACCACAACAGATCAGGTATATCGTACCTGAACTCATGTAGTCACCGTCCTTGCCAAAAGGCAAATTACGTAATTTTCTGTTTCACATAGACGGTCATACAGGCGGTTACGAACTAATTGACGACTGAGAGTATCGAATGGTATTTCTACTATCGCAACCGATTCTTTTAGATCTGCCCTTCTTAGGCATCGCTTCATCGCTACACTTATTTCATCACTAATGAAAGGCAAGATGAACGGAATTTTATTTCGGCCAAACCATTTGTTTTGGGGAGTCGCTCTCGTTCTAAACTAATCGAATCTCGAAGGGTTGCTATTTCGTAGCCCTTAGAGATGGCTATTTGCCGAGCCAAGTCGCACGATTCTTTCTTTAGTTTCCTGGTAGTGCACACATAGGTGGCTGCTTGAAACATGTTTCTCACAAGCACCCTCTTTGTATGTGAAGGGTGGGAAGAGAGGAAATGAATGATGCTGACGTTAGTACTTACTTACTTTCTTACCTATTTAGTAAGTAAGTTAGTTGATCTAGTAAATTGCATATCACTATGCCCTTCCAGGCTCTGAAGAAGGCGATTTTGCCGAAACGTCAGCTACGATTCTGTTCTACGTGTGTTATTGCATGAAAGTAAACGTGCACTGCTTAACAACCTCGCGATCGCTGAGAAAGAAAACGACGCATTTATACTCCAATATCGAGATTAATAGAAAGTCGATCATGGGAATAGTGGATTTACTTATACGCTTAGAAGCCGACGTATACAACTTTCCAGACATAAATGGAGTGGGCCAGAATGGGTCGCATGAGTAGACAGCAACTTAAAGCGACTTAGAAAAAAGTAAGCGTTACACTCTAAGGATTAAGGATGGAGTTGAAGATTCTAATTCAATCGGGGAACCGCAGGAAATTTTGCACTGACTAAATAGATCAACGTCAATCTGTGCATGTAAATCTCTGGCACAAATGTCGCGAAGCAAAAACCAGCTCAAAAATAACTCCTATTAAATAATACCGGACGAATTACAGTTTCTAAAAGCACTTTTGGTTAAAAAAAAACGATGAATTCAAAAGCACTTACGATTCGCGACAGAATGCGCTCCAATTCGTAACGGTTGCGTCTACAAAACCTATAAAATCAAAGGGAATCTTGGCGGAAAATTGGGAAGAGTGCTGACATGACAGGAAGGCATATAAATACTTTAAACTACTAACTGAGTTGCCTTCGGTGCTGTTTCTTCGTCCTGGGCACCACGGATACTTACTTGTGCTCTCTTTCTTGTCGACCTAGTATTACAACGGCCGACATGACGACATTCGTGACCTAAAACGGAAAGAAAAACTACGTAAGTAGATAAATGCAAATAACATCCATATTGGAAAGGTAAATTACGTCGTCGGACACTCCTGTGCAACGTGTTCACTAGTGGCGCTAGGTGTTCGGTAGTCAGGTCGAACGACCGATCGTTCTCGTTTAACTCGGTGGGACTAGGAAGGCCATGGTAAACCTCCGCTAGCCATAGAACTCATTTTACAACCAGCTCAACAATTTCCTGAAATCAACTTCGGCTTAGAATTTACATGAGTTCAAATCTGCAAATAGTTTAAACACTTCAAGAGTTCCTAACTCTAAACGAACAATCGAAATGAGCACAACAAGCTGAAAAATACAAAATTTAAACCTAAAAAGTTTCTGAATATGCAGCACATTTCCTTTGCAGCTGTCTAAAGAACTGACATGGTTCTGACGAAGACAGCCAGAAATCTACAGTTTCCCATTAGCACTACGAAGGCCGGGAGTTCGCCAGTCACACTAGAGCTGATGAGTCGACGTAAAATCTTACGCCGCCCACTTATTTACTATCACTTCGTCGAATAACAAGAAGAACGCATGTGCAAATTATTATGAGTGTCACGCTGTTCTAAACAGCACGCTAACTAAAATGATGAACCTTAACCTTTTTTATTTACTGCCTATTCTTTTAATGGCAGGGTACGTTGCAAAATATAACTTTTATAATGCTCAGATATAACTCGTATGAAGTGCTCAGATATTTGCAAAACTGCGGACCGCAGGCGTCTGCGGTGGAAAACCAACGCGCTATTGTCCGCTATTTCCGGGGAGTAACGCGCTCACCACCACACCATGCGGGCCCTTGGCTTCGGTTGTCTCTCAGCTAGTTCTATCGATCACTTGCCATCAGCAATCCCCCGTCAATGGGATTGATCTGGGGAGCCCAAATTAAATCTGTTGTTCAGAGTTTTGCAAATATCTCAGCATCATTGTGGTTATTATCGTCTATGTTCTAAAAGATTCGGCTTCTACATCGTCCCTGAACGGTCGGCTACTTTTTCATTCTTAGTTTCGTTTCTGATTTCGGTTTTAACATCTCTCCGAATCAAATAGTAGGACGACCGAGCGAAGGATTCGTCACCGAAAACACCTCCCTCTAATCCACATCATGGTGACGAACTGGACACGCCCTTGCAAGGATACGTCAGGACTCCATGGAGGACCAAGTTGCACGACCAGCAATAGGCCAGCCTCGGTATCCCGCACAATGGGTGCTCCCATCTACGACGTCATTCGGTGAGACGACTGGTGAGAGGCCAGAAAATCTCGGTTACGCAGAACGTCTTTGGGACCGGATCTGACGAACACACGCACGACACGCAATGGAGATTGTTTCTTACTATGCACGTATAATGCCAGAACACTCTCCACAGACGCCCATCTTTACGCCCTTCTTGTAGCCGCAGATCGCATTAAATTTTATGTGATCGCATTACAAGAAACAAAAAACAAGAGGACCGACATACGCCAACTAAACAACGAGACCCTTGTGATCTGTGGAGAAAAGATCTAGTCACGAAATATCGGCGTCGTAGGCTTTATCGTCCACCCGTCCATTTCCCATCTCGTGGACTCATACCAGATCCCTTTCCCTCGTATAGCCGTCCTCCGTGTTCAACTGCCGCATCATAAGAAGATCACTATCATCAACTGCTACCTACCGATCGACGCAGCTGATGAGTACGAATTAAATGCGTTCTAATATCAGTCGGCGGAAGTCATCCGCAATGATAAAACTCATCATAAATTTGTTGTTGGAAACTTCAACGCCAGAATAGGAAAGGGCAACGAGGGCTAATGCAAGATCGGAAATTTTGAATTAGGAGAAGGAAATGAGAGTGGGTACAGTCCCGCAGAACTGTTCAGTAGCACGTCTCTTCTATGGGAACTCGTTCTTCCAGAAGAAAGAAAGCCGTCGCTGGACATGGGAGTCTCCCAACGGCATGACTCATGCGGAGATCGACCATATCCTGACAAATAGAAGATGGTGCCCACTTGATACATCGGTAGTCCCGTCATTCTGTACTGGTTCCGATGGCAGCCTTCTTCGCGCGAAGATTCGATTCAGCCGCAAGCTGGAAAAAAACTGCCTCCATCGACCACAGTGAAAAAGTCTAGCTGCATACGACGAGCGCTTGTCGAAGGACTGAAAAGCTGTGCCGAATTCGCCTCAGTTCCTCAAGCAAAAGGATCAGATCGCAACTCCATCACTACTAAGGAGTCGTGAAAGAAACTAGAGTATGATCCTACTGCAACACGTTTAAAATGGCTAGTAATAAATGCCAGCTGCAGAAGAGTTTTGCAGGAAGATCTACATCGGTACAAGCAGAAGAAACTACTGGAAGCAGCAGAGAAAAAAGCATTCTGAAAAAATACCGGCGAGACTTGTGTGATTATAATGTCCCGCTGTCAACCCTGATGCACGAAGATGGGATCGTCAAAACTTTTCGCCATGATTTGGAATTAATAGCGGAAACGTTCTCACCAACCTTCTCCGTTCCACAATCCCCGTCCCGGGCCCTAATATCTCATGCTAGAGAAAAACCACCTAGATTTCTTCCGTCGGAGGTTCGAGTTGCGATGGAAAGCATGAAAAGAGGTACAGCTCCAGGACCTGATAATATTATCGCCGACTTCCTTAGAGCTGGAAGCCACAATTTGCATGTGCTTCTCGCAAATTATATGACGGTCTATCTTCAAAAGAAAAAAATCCCATACCAGTGGAGGACGTCTCGCACGGTCATCTTGCCTAAGAAAGGAGACTGAAGGGATCTTCGTAACTATTGCCCCATGTTTGTTGAGTGCACTCTACAAGCTCTTAACGAGTATTATCATCTCGCGTTTATCAAGGACATTGGAAGGGGAGCAAACAGTCGAGCAAGCAAGATTCCGAAAAGGATTTCGCTGCATGGACCACATCCAAACTGTGTCCAAGGTCGTTTATGTTTGCC